AATTCGCTCGTTCAAAACGAAATTTGGTCAATAATAATTGACTACTGTGAAATAAAATAGCGGTGTTGATTTAAAAATATCAATTAATTTTGATTGATAACGAAATAATAAATTTTCTTTTTAGACAAAAATAATTATGAAACGCGTTAATATTTATTTATTTATGTACTACTTTCCATCTTGAGAAGAGTAAATTCGATATTATATGATATTCTATATTACCATGAATCGAATGTGAGAAATGAGGGCTTAAAAATAATAAATATTAAACCATTATTGTATTTATATATTATTATAGTAAAAATATTTCTTTCAACTAGTAATTATTCTCTTCAACCATATATCAATATCTACTTAAAAGTTCCTTAACTTTCTTTGATCACTGTTTCCTTCTATTTATACATTATTATAGTAAGAATATTTCTTTCAACTACCTTTCTTGGTAATTATTTTCTTCAACTACAGATCAATACCTTAAGTCTCTTCGACTCCTGTTTTCGACTATTTATAAATTATTAAGTATATTATCATATTATTGTTATATACGTCGACTATTTATATGTTATCACAGTGAAGATATTTCTTTCAAACTACCTTTCTTAATAATTATTCTCTTCAACTACATCCCAATACCTACTTGAAAGCTCTTTAATTTTCTTCGACTCCTGTTTTCGACTATTTATAAATTATTAAATATATTATCATATTATTGTTATATACGTCGACTATTTATATGTTATCACAGTGAAGATATTTCTTTCAAACTACCTTTCTTAATAATTATTCTCTTCAACTACATCCCAATACCTACTTGAAAGCTCTTTAATTTTCTTCAATTCCTGTTTTCGACTATTTATAAATTATTATATTATTACATATATCGACTATTTATACATTATCATAGTGAAGATATTTCTTTCGACAATCCGTCGTAGTAATTGTTCTTTTCAATCACGCGTCAATCTATCGAAAGTATTCCAAGTGCTATTGAAGAGCTCTGAAACGATGAGTTCCGATAGCTTAGCCGTCGTTAGTTAGCTCGGTCGAAAATAAAAGCGTGTCGAAAAGCGGCCGTTCCATTAGCCGTTCGCCGTGGACCAAGGTGCTGGTGCCGGAGATCCGAGGCAGAAGAACTGTCCGGTCGCGGTGAGTCGGCTAATCTTCCGATTCACACGAGGCAAGGACGTGGAACGGTCTCTTGAAAGGTTCCGCGCCCTCCGAGACGACCACGCGGGGCCCCATCCTTCTTGCCACCGCATTTACAATCGTTAGTGAGCCTCCTCGAGAATCGTTTAGCGTAATTACGCCTCTTGTCGCAGTCTGGCTTATTTTTCGACGGATCGTACGCTGCACCATCTATCTTCGATGCGTACTCGGAGTCTTCTACGCGGCCTCTTCACCAACTACTAGCTACTCGCTGCGTAAATAATTAGGCACAACGCAACATCGTCCATGAACCAATGCAACGTGCCGTAAATAATTAGACACGGTGCAGTTCCATCGAGGGATCCATAGTTTTCGTTGTTGATTTTTGCTTTATATCTTATAACTATAACTGAGATATCATGAATTTGTCGTTGCTAGTGTTTCACGTCCATTTGTAATAAATAGCTGATTTTCCTTTGAAAAATTTATGCACATTTCCTTGCCATTGAAAAAGAATTTCGATGTTTAATGTGTCAACATTGTATCATTGTATCTTTGGTCAATTTTCAATTCTATTTGAAGTATATTACTTTCTCCCCCTCCATCAATGATGTTTCCTTCATGTAATAAAAGCTCAGGTTCAAATGAATTTAACCAGCAAGAGTTTATTGGATCAGATATTGACTAAAATTTGGTTGAAAATAAACGAAGTTCATATAGAACTTTATTACAAAATTTCTATTATACATATATAATGTTATATTATTATATAAAATGTAAATAAATTTACTATAATAATACAATAGTAATTCATCACGATAATACATAATATTAAATATTAAATATTTTCCCATACAGTTTCCTACGAATGTATAAAAATTCAGTCTATTTGATCAGAGACGTATCGTTTACCATTTCCACTCCGTTTCCACTCGATTCCCTCGCTACGCAAGCAATTTCTTCGCGAAGCCGAATTACGGGGACCAGAACAATCGGATGCCTATCGACCATCGTGGCACCACGCTATAACACACCGGGCATAATCGTCCGTTAATTCGTTGACCAGCGGACAAAGGACGTGTCCGAGATTGATACAAAGTCGCCGTTTCGCTACAACATGACGGGGAACCGATCCTTCGCCTCGCTGGTTTCACTCAGCCGTTTTTGCCCTCGCTGGCTTTTAAGCCCACTGCGATTTCTTTTCCACCGCATCGCAGACGGTTATTATGCGGTTGATAATAGCGGTTGGCAAGTTAAATACAAGCGGGGACTCGCTTTTGTGGGAAACTTCTGGCGTGGAGCTTCTTTTCGAACGGCGATATCACGCCGTAAGCGTGGAAAAAGTCGAAGCGACGTGATCGGGAGCGGTGAGTTTCTTTCAAAAGTTCTGAATATCGGTGTCTGTCGTGGAACGGACGATGCCTCAGAAATATACGGAAGATCGAGATGATGGAAATATAATATAGTTGCAAAAAACTGACGTTTTTTAAATAGCATTACGAATGCAAATATTGTGATTCTATCCTATTTAAAATTTTTGGATAACTAAATGATAAAAATATAATGTAATCTTGCAAGATTACTTACATTTTTTTAACAACTTTGCAAGTGCAGACATTTCGATCCCGTTGTGTTTAAATTGTTGGCTGGCTAAATGGATAAAAATATAATATAATTCCACGAAACTTACATTTTTTAATAATTTTACAAATGCAGATATTTTGATCTCGTTCTATTTAAATTTTTGGGCGGCTAAATAGTTCTCTTTCACATTCTAATACGAACGAACGACATTCAGTGAATTGCAGTATTATGAAAATTTGGGTGAAACTAATCTTTTATCCATCCTTAAATCAAGTTTCAAAGTCATGTAGTGAATCGTTTTTACTTATCGATGGTTTTGTTAAATATATACTCCTACTTGTCATCGAACAAGGTCTGGTGATCTTTTAAATAAATTGACATGAAATTTCTTTCAAATTTCCGAAATAATGGATATAATAAATCTTCCATATCATGAAAATAGCGACTAATTACAAATGGCTAAACGAATTTCAAGAAATAAGAGAACGAAAGGATCAGTATATCGACGGAAACATTTATAAAAAATCCCACTGGAGTAAGAATGATTAACTATTTCTAAAGATGGCAGTCTCAATTAAAATGCTCGCATTTTGTATATACTCCAAACTCGTGAATTGCAATATTCCCCATCAATTTTCATTTCCATCCTACATATCAAACTTACATTTCATAGAGATCCGGAATAGAAACGATTGTTTCAAGATTGATAACCTCGAATTGCAGGCGGCAATTGAAATAAACAATTTATCGCTCGCACTTTGTACTGCCATCAAAAACCCCTTGAAACTCGAAGCTTCCCTTTCTGAAGTTCCAGGTACATCTTCAAACAATTTGAACC